CATCCCCACCCCTGAACTGTAAATATTCAATATTTCTTATTTTAATATAAAATGTTTGAGCCTTGAAAGATTATTCTGTTTAAGATAATTTCAGTCTTAACAGCCTACAGCAATTTAATTTATTTTACTTTTTTTCTTTTTAGGGCAAAAAACCAAGTTTGCTCACTCAGTGAGTTTTTTTCAGTATTCGGAACATTATGTTGCCAGTGTATGAATTATGTGTTGCATAGTTTGTGTGTCAGATCCACAGGAATGAAAGCTATAATATGAATCATTATTGATGACTTTCTTGAGCTGGGAATTTATTATCATTGTTGCCACTGGAACACATAACCTGTGAGACATTCTAATGTATTTACCAGCTGGTAGAGTTCTGATACCTTTTACTGTAAGAGCAGTGGGAATGGCTGGATAAAATTTTGTGAAAGAATACATAGCTGTAGATTAAAAGGAAATGGTAATCACTGCTCATCTCAACAAAAGAAACAAAGTACCTGAATGCTGTATCTAGCAATCTGTCAAAATAGTATTATGGTAAAGGGGACCATATAGCTAAGTATCTCACAAGCTTTAATGTATTTGCCTTCACAGCTGCTCTGTGAGCTATAGAAGTGACATTTCTTATCCTTTAGTTATCACTCAGAATTCATAACAACATTTTTTCTTATATTCTAGCAAATGAGTCAGGTAGCACCAGAGCTGTTATTCTTGACTATTAGCACAAGGAAAGCCATAATATACATGAATATTTTCTTAAAGCCTCAAGTATTTTCAGGCTACATGAAGGCTATTTCATGCAACATGAATTTTCTTATACCTTATGAAGACTGATCTTCAAAATTATTTTAAACAATACTCTAGTTTTCCAAAAAGTATCTTGTGAAACCTACTACTAAAATGGGGGGTTTACCTAAATAGGATCTGTAGACTCAAGGTTTTGTCCAAACCCAGTAAAGCTTGTTCTGCCTATATATATCTTATTTATTTAGGCTGTGAAGGTGCATATCTGTCCTGCCTTCTGCCTGACTTCAGACTAACATGGCTAACTAACAACATCTCCCCAGACCCATTAAAATCATTGATATGCATTGACTGTGGTGGATTCTGCATCATGTCCAGGCATCAAATCTAAGAGGGAGAAAAAAGACAAAGGAAAGATTTCTGAATTCATAATATAGTCTCATCCCTGTGGCTCACGTAATATAACCTATGCAACACATAATTTCATATACTGTCAACATCATCCATCCGCTTATTAGAAAACTGGTTGTATGAGTGTGTTTGACTCATTATTACATTGGATTTGCTGTCCTGTGTTGTTATAGTTTCATAGTTTCTAGGGTCGGAAGGGACCTGAGCAGATCATCTAGTCTGACCCCCTGCCATGGCAGGAAGAGCACTGGGGTCAAATGACCCCAATAAGGTGGTCATCCAACCTCCTCTTAAAAACCCCCAGGGTGGGAGCCTGCACCACCTCACTTGGAAGCTGGTTCCAGAC